CCTAATGTTGCATTGTAGGTATTTATTTGAATGGTATGAATAATCTTGATTATTACATGATGCAAAACATGATTCCTGATATTCTTTATTGAAGGAATAAAAGTTCCATTGAAATTTTATTTGTTTTCAAGAGACATCTGAATTGAAAGTATAGCATGTTCTTTGTTACGTTATATTATTCAGACATGTGTATTACAGTGCTTTTGCTGAGTGATGTTTTAATTGGTTATATAACATATTTTGAAATTCCACTTTAAAATTATCATTCTTGGAACTTTTTGTTAAGAAATATAATGGTTATATAAATACTTGATAGAAGTTGAATACTCTTATTTTTCAGTCATACACTTAACAGACAACAGAAAACATTAATTTTAATGAATATTAGTATAATATAATGGAATACATACTTTAGAAATGTTTTTTAAACATGTATATCTGCCAACAATGTGGGAGATGCACATCAATAATATTTTACACATACACAGACAGTAAGAGAGACTACTAAGCAACACACGCAATGAAATACAAGATTTGTCAATTAATTTAAAATTATCAGAAATTTCACACATAAGAGCACTGTAGATTAATAACTTATTTCATACTCATATGTTACTAATTAATTTTAGCATGCATAAAATTGCTTGGGATTGGGATTGGTACTTCAAGTAAGTGATATTGGTAAGCATGATAGGTATACAAGGGGGGGGGACTTCATCCTTCCCCTTCCAATTATTGATGAACATGTCACTAAAATATTCTGTATATCTTTTCTTTTATCCTTCCTCCAGTACAAAATAATGATGTATTTTGAGACAGATGTTTATTTTTCTAGATAACTATAAAGAAGTCAATAAAAGATATCTAAATTTTACTGCAAATGCAGTCACTGTTAATTTAAATCTCATTGTTGGTATTAACAAAATGCGTTTATTTTTTCATAAATCTTAACTCAAAAGAAGGATAGGTGATAAATCATTTAAGTGTAAAAAATTTGCGTTTATCTATAAACTTACAAAAATACAGTTCAAACATGTAGAAGCTGGCAGAATATGTATTTTCATTTTTTATTAAACATTTTCATAAACAAGGATATTGTCATTTGAAGTTCATAAAAGTAATGCAACTGTAACAGAAATTAAGAAAAATTATCATTAAAATGTGGAAGATTATTTCAATAAAAAATGGCGGTTAATTATATAAAAGTCACCTCAAAATTAATGCAAACATGCGACTTATAAAAAGATGACTCAACCAAAGTCAGCCATTTCTAAACTTTAAAACTAACTAAAATAACTGTTTAACAATGAAACAAAAGTCCTTTATTTAATTTCAAACACTGCCATTGTTTTCAAGCTTATAATCACATACAAATTTTATTATTTGCACAACTGTTATTTATAATTTTAAATGCAATTTAATTCGTGCTTAATGCATATTTAAAAGTATTTACTGAACTTCAAACAGCACTTCTTTTTGTATTCTGAAGTATTTAGCATTACTTCATATCACATTGGCTTTGTATGTCAATTATTTCATAACTTTTATAAATTCATAAAAACCCATTATATAATTTCATTTGCATTAGATTGTAATCACTAAGTGCTGGCACAAAGAATGAATACTGCTAATAACAAAATATTTTACTAGAGTATATTCAGGTAATATATATTAAAAAAAATTATAAATATGCTTTATTTACAGTGTATGCTGCTTAATGTGATCATGATTATCATTTGCATAATTTTATTGGATTAGAAAAGTATGGCTGCATTTATATACCAAGTGCATGCACAGCTTAATCATCAATGTATCATTTTGAAAATTAAGATTCTTAAAAGAAGCACACTAGAAAAGAGAGAAGTTAAATCAATTATCATCTTTTCACTAATGTTTGTGATAAAGATGCATGCTCCAAAATAATGCATAAAAAAGCAAAAGACTTGATTTAAAAAAATTGAGTAATTATGACTTTTTTTTATTAAAAGTTAATAACCAATATTCTTCAAATAAAATTTTAAAAAGCAAAATTATAAATACATTGCATGAATTTGCAGATGAACTCAAAATAAAGATGCAGAATTTCCTACAACAGAAACTTGGAATTATAAATGAATGACCTCAAATTATTTTTTAATTTTTACTTGTAAATAAACATAGCAGCAACAACCTACACTTTCTTATCATGCTTTGTATATAGAGCACATGTTGCTTAATCTGAACACACTTAAGAAGCAAATCTGCTACAGGTTGCAAAACTGCTAGTATTACATTTTTATAATTATAAACAGTAAAACGAAAAAGCTGATTATTTAAACTTTATTGATGATTATTGATAACCAATCACAACCTGCTAGATTTCATAGAAATCAAGAACTTGTCTATCATATTACACCAATTTCAGGATATGAATGATAACAGTGATTTTTAACTAAATACTGTAATGGTTGGTAGACAGAATAATGATAATTGCCTTCATATATAACAGTATGAAGTTCAAATGAAGAAAGAGTTCTTTTATAACATTGCATAGTCAATGCAACTGAACTGAAGCAACACTTCTACATTAATTTAACCTAATGATCAAGACATTACCTGAGTATTGAAATTACTGTGTCATTGTGAAACAGGAGCAACTGAAGTGATAAAGGATCTATGAACATGCAAATGAATAAGAGTTAAGAAAACAAATGTCCGAAACATTTTGTAACTTTCACTTCAAAAAAAAATCACACACACACACACACACACAAAAAAAAAAAAAAAAAAAAAAAAGAGAGAGAGAGAGAGAGAGTGTTTTTAAAAGAAGTTGAAATTTCATCTGATCTTCATGAATGATAGAAATTTTTTATTTCATCTGATCTTCATGAATGATAGCAATTTTTGATTGTGTTCATCATTTATTTAATGTCATAATCAACTCATCAAGTATGATTACAGCTTTGTCAATTAATGAAGACTAGATGATCTGATTAAAGGCAATGAGACAATTTGTCGGGTTATGGCCAAAATAAATAAATAAATACAAAATGAATACATAAAAGAACTAAAATTTAAATAACAATTATATGTGAATAAATCTAGCAAAGTATACAAATGTACAACACAACAATAATTTTTATGCAATTCTGAACATTATTAAGCCAACTTTACCAAATACTATTATAATTTGTATAAATTACCAGTGTGATCACATTAAGTAACAACCACTGTACTTGAAATTTTAGACACTGTTGTGTTGATTAAATCTTATTGTAATGACACACGAAATAAATAAATTAAGTAAATATATGGTATTAAGTATGTATAATTATGATTATACATAATAATGTCAGTATTTAGCGGATGGCTCAGTTGTACAAAACATATAGCTGAAAGAATTTTAAATGGGAGAAACATTTAAAATTAAATTAAAACATATAGATGGGGGGGGGAATTGATGAATTTTTTAACAGAATATATAAATATTGATGAAAAATAAGTACTTCTGCCAATTATTCATATAAAATCTGCAAGGTAAGAAATAATGATTTGTTAATGTAGCTATGCATAAACTTCACAAGACACAAAATGACATGAGGTGTTCACTATGAAATTTAAGCAAATTTAGAGCTCACGATAAAAAATATATCAAAGACAAGGAATGGAATAACATTTTAGGATAAAGCTGAGTAGTTTCTCATAAGTTAGTGTTTAGATAATCTCATAAAATAACTAACTAAACTGGTTTTGCTTACCACCAAAAAACTGTGATTTTACTACTGAACCAAAAAACTGCGATTACAACTAAGTACATTCCTAAAGAATTAAAAACACATAATAAAAACAAATAATTTGTTCTGATCTATGACATTAATTTAAAAAAATACTCAGATATACTGAAATTACACCTTTGAGAGTATGTTTAAGACTTGAATAAAAATAGGAAACAGATATTCATTCATCACAGAAATATGCGAACAAGACATTGTTCCAATTTATAAAAGAATACTAATAAAGAATCACATTCTTTAAACAGTACAAAATGCATCACCATCAATGTGCAGCTCAACAATTAATGTTATTTACTTTAAACAAAATATATCAAGCTTTATGCAACATACAAAGTGTAAAAAATTTACAGAAAGTGGTACAGATGTATCAAAAGTGTAAAGCAAAAAATATGAGCAAAACCATTGGGGCACTTTGTGTAAACTGCAAAAACTTTCACAAGTCTGCTAATCTCATGAAATCTACATGAATCACACATTTGTATTAAGAATACTGTTTTCAGATAGTTGCACTTTATAATAACTACGGATGTCTCAAAGCAATTAGTATATTTGGAACATATTATATTAGAGAAATCACGTATGAAACATTTATCATATTTCTACCTGAAATAGTCCAATTCAGTTTATGAAAATTTCAGATACAATCCAATTTTGAGATATGAGGTAATAATATACATTTTTATGTTTAAGAGCAAAAATGCAGAAAAGAGGGAATTTCAATAAATTCAGAAGAGCATTTTAAAACAACTGTAATTATTAAAGATTTATGGAAATTTCAAAATGTGCTTAATAAATTCAAAATATTAAATCTACACTTCACAAAACTAAATTCACAAACTCTAAAGAGCTGAAGCATATGTGTGTATACACATATTTTATTTCCATATGTAAAATTATTGTATAAGAGAAGCTGATATTTGTGTCATGAATATCAGAAAAGCTGCACCATATTTCTTAACGATGCACATATTAAAAAAAAGATCCGAGCTTAAAATATTAAGCTGAAAATATTCTGAAGTATTTCCCACACTAAATGTTTAATAAATCATTTTGAAGTTATCTACTTCATAATTCTATTTGAATGCTCTAACCTAAGAAATTAATGTAGATTGAAAAATCTTTGTATTGAAAAAGATAGATTGTCCACAAAGCATTGCAAAAATTGCAAGGCAGTAAATGAATGCTGCAACATATACTAAATAATAAATCTATTGAGAATGAAAAATCATGATGCAGTACTATTTATTTATTCATCTTTCAGTTACAGATATTTTTTTCTTACAAGATACTTAAAACTGTATGTTATTCAGGCAGTTTTCTCAAAGTGGCAAATAGGTCATGCCAATAATATGTTTGGCTATAATTTTTGTTGTATGAAATAAATCATGAATTCAAATGAATGCTTGCTCTCTTAAAAAATGCCCAAAAAATTATATACTTTTACAATGAATATAAAATCGATAAGTATACAACAGTGAGTATATTACACTGTACAAATCTTTCTTTGGTATAACATTTTCATGTATATATTTTGTAAATAAAAAACATTAAAAACTTTGTAAAATAAAGCCTTAAATATAAAACAAAAACAAGGAATGATGAAAACATTTGACTAGATTCATCTCAAAATTTCAATAACTTCAATCAAAACATTTAATTATGAAATTACTGAATATATTTTTGTATCATATCAGATTTTAAATAACATTTGATTCTAACTGAAACAAAACCTACATTTAACTAAAAAATCATATTTCTTAGAAAACCAAACTATTATTTTAAAACATCAATTTACCCTCAAAACTTGCAATAATTTTACACTAATTGTTTAAAGCTATTGCATCAATTCTATGAAGCATTAACAGTTTATGTACAAACTAAAGTCCTTTTGATTTTAATAGTAAATAGCTAATTTTTTATGGCTGATCACAGCAATGTTTCAAAATATATAAATATATGAAAATATGAGATTCAAGAGACACTACCTAGCTGCTCATTTTACTGCTTTCATTATTCACAGATGGTTTTGGAGCATCCTTAATTTCTTCTGTTACGGGTTGAATGTCCTGATCCAATTCTTCAACACGACAATCATTAAGATGCTGACCAGAAACTTGTTGATTGTGAGACAGAGAAGAGTGAGAAAGAAAAGGTACACTACCAGAAAAACGTGTCTGGAACAGGAGATCATTATTACTACTATCCGTACGTTTGAAATTGATTTTTGGCATGTCTAGAACAAGGGCTCCTGATGGTGGCTCAGCACAATGAAGAGCTATGAAATTAAAATAAATAGATAAATAACTTTTATATATTACGACAAAACTACACAATACTGTATGAAATTACTTCACAAATTAGGAAATATAAAACATGTATTTTGATTTGTTCTTAATTTATTTCCGCAACTATAACACTTTTATTTGTATGTTATTCGGGCAATTCCATTCAACTACAATAGCAATATACATATATAAAAAGGCACAAATTTCGTAATTAAAAATACTCTAAAATTACACTAAAATTTTTTAGAACTGTTAAAACTTAAAAAATAAAATATTCATAAAAAAACGTACACACAGTTAACCCCCGAATTATATGATAATTAGAAATGATAATGTCCTGTGCAACTCCAAACCTACGTATGAATTTTTTACTTCCCCAAAACTAACATTATATTAAATGAAGATTAATAACCTGCTATTAAACAGTAGCCTTACTGATAACATATAAAATAAGTTAGCAAATATTTAAATGCTATATTATATATATATTATATGCTGTATTCTTGCTATTGAGTTATATGGCGACACTTTCCACTACTTCACACTTTTCATGTTAATCTTCTTATTGCGATGTCACTGACTAATTCTCTCCTCATGCTCAGGCCTTATCCTTCGAGATGGTGTTGGCTAGGGTGTCAGGCGGTGACCAATTGCAATGAACTGACTGACATATTGATGCTGGCCAGGATCACATTTTCAGCCCTTGAGTGGTTGTGAAGGTGTACGCATTTTTTTAGCTAAATTAAACTAGTGAAGCTCCAATGTGCCCTTTTAATGAGATTTAAACTGATAATCTAAGATCTAGAAATTTTTTAAATCCAGAATCGCTGAAGTCCCGATGGCTCTGGTTCTTGGACTTTGTACTATGATTAATCTTTTTAAAAGTAGTTGGATAAGCCGAATGGAATATTTTGTACAATGAATGTCTTGAAAAAGCAGGATTTCCTGTTGAAATACACTTTAAGAATCATATGCCATAATAAATCAGTACATATGATTAAAAAATACACACCAGGTCTAGGTTCCTTTGAATCTTCTTGCAGTATGCCAGGATAGAAAAATTGTCCAAATTGTCCAATCTGTCCAAATGCACCTTCTAAATCTCGTATCTAAATAAAGAACAAAAACTTTTTATCTATTAGATTAATATTATAGTAACACTAAAAATTATTTATCTGATAAAATCTGCAAAAATTTCACATTTACTTCCATTTATATATTGCTAAAATTTTTTTCCTAGGAGGAGTGAAAATTTTACATGAAATAGAATTCATTATAAATTTTAAAGAAAATAGACACTTTTTGTTTTCAGTTACCAAGTTATCATATTTCAATTACTGATCTGTTGATGAAGAATTCATGCACATGTCTATGCATGCACATTCATGCGCATAGATGAAGTCTGTGCACATGTCTATGTGTATGAAAAGTTTGGGTTTCTTTCAAATATGTAAATGATGAATAATACAGGTGGTATTAATGATAGCTGGATGTTAAAAGAGAGATGTAGTCATGGCCAATTTATACATTTCTTTCTTTTCTTTTTTCTTAATTTATTTATAGTATTAAAGTAAACACATATAGATGAAGTGGTGCAAGAGAGATGCATATTATTCCACAATTATAAGCATACATTCACCTATTCAAACATTACAACTGTTGATGAAGAGCTAGTTAAAGATTTGCAAAACAGATGCATGCATGAAAAGAGCAAAGAGTGTATACTAGCTACTGTTAGATTACGAATGTCTAAATAACTTTGTTATATAACAGAGGGACATAGGGTAAAACTTTCAATGAGACCTTTAAGATTTAAGGAATGATATGGTGCTCTGTGGTCATGAATCATTAACCCCGTAACTGCTGCGGGCATATATATAAGCCTTGCTCAGCCGATACGTTAACTGCCCCGAGCATATATATATACGCCCTTCCAAAATACAACCATTTGCTCTGCATTGCTACCCATAAAATTATTCGCAAAGCTTTGGAATGCAACACCACAATGACCTTGACAAAGTATGCGAAGGAGGATACTATTTCAGAGACGTGTGGGGAGAAATTGGAGAGAGAGAGATGTGTCTAAAGCTGTGAAATTAATGCCTGTGCGATATTGGCTGGTGTTGTTCGAGTAACATATTTTTTTTATTCTATGTCCTCCATTTTCATTTAACTTTTTGTAGTAGGTTCCAGGAATAAAGAAAGATATAACGGATGTTTCAAACTCATTTATCTTTTTTGAATTATTTTTTGATGAACTTGCTCGTGCTTCAAATTGTTAATGAAACTAACCGTTTTGTAGACGAGTATATGAACCAACACCTTGCAAACGAAAAATCAAGAACAAAATCGTGGCATTCTACCAGTTCAGAAGAAATACAATCAAAAGTCTTTAATCCATAATCCGGACCTCAAAGCTACAAACTTTCTGTGCATGCATAAAAGCATAATGCGTTAAGCGCATGCGCATAATACCTTTACGCACGCGCATATGCGTTTACGAATATGCAGAGCAGCGTGAAATTGATAAATCTGTTTATCAATTTCACGCTGCTCTGCGGGGAGGGGGGAGACGTAGCGGCGCGTGATGAACTGGAAGTTGATCTGTCAGCACTTTCTTTATCTTCAGGCCAGATGTTTTTATTTTATTCGGCTTATAATTCCTTACCAAATGTAGTATTTCATCTCGATGTACTCTCTTTATGATTTAAATCAAATTCCTCGTCATTATAAATATCACGAATACACATCAAATAGTTTTCTGGTTGCAATCTTCTAATTTTGACTATACGTAATGTATGATTGATGCATGCGCGCGTTGAAAGAAATGTTTAATAAAGTAAACAAATAAATATTAAGCTTTTTTTTTTTTTTTTTTTTTTTTTTTTTTTTTTTTTTTTAAATTTTGATACCCTTCAGATGATAATTGCTCTTTATTTCATAAATTACGGTTTCATATTTTTAATTTTGTAATTTCTGCATGCCATCTTACCAGATTTAAACTATCCAGAAAAACCGATAATCCGGAATCACTGAAATCCCGACGAGTCCAGATTAAAGACTTTTGACTGTATATGTTTTTTTAGGCATACTGATTTCACAAGGTATAACACTGAAACCTGATATTACACTTTACTGGTCTAAAAATGAATTGATCGAAACTCCATTTTAGGGATATTTTTTATTATAAAAACATCATTTTTATTATACTTACATCTTTTTATTATACTTTTACTCAAAACATTATTCATTTTTTCTTTTATTCTTTATTTTGTGAAAGTAAATAGTTTTTAGAAAGTAAAACTTGCATTTATTTTCCCCCTAATACATCGCATAACTATGCGTGCCTGTGTGAAAAACCGTGGCATTGGGAAATGAATCTTGTCCATTTTCCGCAGCAGTTAAGGGGTTAAACCCACTTTTCAGATTTCTCTTCACTGAATCTGTTTTTTAAAGTTAGCTCTGCTATTGGTGTTTGAATAAGAATTGCTAAATTACTTTGTTAGTTAATAGACAGACATAGGGCCCTATTCACTGCATGTTTAACAAGATTTAAGGAATCATATGTTGTTCTGAGGTCACAAATTGTTAAATCCACTTTTCAGTATTCTTAATAATCCAATCATTAAACCTGATCTTTAAATTTAAAGTCTGACCTTAATTTAAGGACAAGTCTAAAAGTAGGTTTAAGTTAAATGGTATGTTTCTTTACAAATGAAATAGGTGACACATTTTTATTTGAGGTGGAGTTAAATAGTATTTTCCAGATATTCTTATGTAATACTATGCTGTAAGGAAGCTTAAAGCTCAGCAAGTACTCCTAATTTATCAGAATATATTTTTCATAATAAAAATTTTACTTTCCAAGAATGTTACCAACATAAAATTATGGCATATTTAAGTGATTGCTTATCTTCAATGAAAATGACCATAACTGAAAATCATTAGGATATATTACATCTTTTAACAGTTTTCTGAAATTTATTTGAAAACATGCTTTTTATATGTCTATTACATAATGTAGAAACATTGACTGCCTAGATGTTGATCTAAACTTCTTAACAGCCAAGGCAGATTAAATATTCATTTTTGTTTCAACTGGCATCTGTGGCCTCAATTCACTTGGCACTCTAATCCTGCCTATTCAAAATATTTTAAATTTTTGACAGTTTTGCAGTAAGAATCTGTTCTTGTTGCAAAGCAGCAGCAGTCTAGCTATGCCGAGGTTCAAAAAGTAAGTGCATAATTATGTAATACCGTAGCTTATTATTATAAGAAACGTTTCAGTTTTGGTAATTTTTAGAACAGAAAGTGGAAATATCCACATTAAAGTCAAGAATTAACAGGCTGTTGCTAATTTGTATTATTATTTTGATTTGCATATTTGTATCTTACATACATACATTTTGTTTTAAAAAGCACAATTTACTACTCTGAGTAATAGTTATGAGAAAAAGACAAGAAAGAAAGACAAGACAAGAAAATCAAAGAAAATTAATTAAAGAAAGAAATCATTAATCAAAGAAAATCTGCCAAATGCATATATGTTAAAAACTGAAAACAAGTACCATTCCAACAAATCTTAAACTAGTTGTAACAGTATTGTTTGAGTGACCAAACAATGTCACCTTTCTGAAACATTCTGAAAAGAAGGCACAATCAAAGTTTTTTGGACAGATTTTTAGTGAAGGCCAGACTTAGTGATCCTAAAGCAAGTCCAAGCAGGGACCTGACAGAAAAAAATAGATAGGAAAGAGGTACATAAATTTGGTAATTTTTCATTTATGTACAGTATTTATTTCACTCACTGCATTTATATTTTAGTATTAAGCAGTGCTATAATAGTAACAATAGGTCTTTTTTACGAGAATGGGTTAATTATTTTCTTTTACTACTTACTGGAAAAGTTCATTCAGTATATGTTACGATATCTGGACAGTATAAGTCTTAGTAGTCCTATAAGTAATACTTCACAATTGAAAATGTGCATACTTTTTTTTTTAATTTCATACAGATGCTTAAATGCTAGAGAGCCATATTCACTATTTAATTTTAGAAATTTAGTGCATCATGTTTTCTCATCTGTTTCTAAGGTTATACTTATTATTCCATGAAATTATGAATTACCTATGTTTCGTCTTGTCACAAGAAAAAATTTTTTCATGCGCATTTAGTTTGTATTCCGTTTTGCACACAGTTTCTAACATACTTGATGACTTTAAAAAATATATATATATATGGCGAATTTGTAGAAAAATGTTTAGAAGCTGTTGCAAATGATTTTGTGCCTGATAAAAATTCATTATTTTTAAATTACTAACATTTCAAACGAAACTGTCGCAAATCTGTGTGATCTAATTCGAGATTTCAAATTTTTCTCTTTGCATCTGACAAAAAGTACAGATATTTTGGACACAGTTGAACTTGCACTATTCATTTGTAGAATAAATTTATCATTCCATGTAAAAAAAAAAAAAAAAAAGAATTGTTAAACATGATTAGTTTGAAGAATACTACGAAATGAGAACATATTTTTCAGGCTGTTGAAAACTGTTTACACGAAATAAACTTGCATTTAGAAATTCTTTCTGGAATATCAACTGATGGAACAGCAATTGTAATTGTTAAAGCTATGGAAGTTGTAAAATTGCTAATAAATAAATTATAATCAAACAACATTAAAACTGAAGATTCAATCACTATGCATTGTTTGATTCATCAACAAAATTATTATTGACGAATCAAGTTATGCAAGTGGTCATAAAAACAGTAAATTATATTCAATTATACACTTTTGCATCAACAATTTAAGGAATTTCTAATAGAATTAGATGCACAATATGGTCACGTTATATATTTCAGTCATGTCATGTTGTTATATTTCAGTCATGTTATGTTTACAATGATTTTTTTTTTTGAGTTAAGGAACTAATTTGTTTGTGAATGAGAAGAAAAAACCAGTGCCACAATTAAACAATGATGAGTGGTTGTTAAATTTATGGCTTTTAGTGAAAACAGTAGAAAAACTCAATCAATTACACATATCTTTATAAGCAAAGATAATTTGAAAATCAATACTTTTAAACAGATCGTATTTCAGAAGAAACTCTTGTTACTTGAATTGGAATTAAAAAATAATAACATTTGCATTTTCCACTACTGAAAGAATTAAAATTTTAGAATATGACAATAGTTCCAAATAACAAAAAAAAAAAAAAAAAAACAGAAAACACAAAACGTCTTTTGACCGCCAATTCAGCGATTTAGGTAAAAACGTCAAAATATTTATAATATGTTCAACTCCCTTCACTAACATAAATCTCCAAATAGAACTTATTGATTTATAGTGCAATGATGTATTGAAACATACTTTTCAAACATCGGAATCAAAACCTGATTTGTATAGCAGTTACATTAACAAAAGAAAAAATTTTCAGTTAAAAAAGTCTGGTATAAAGAGCTGTGAGAGCTTTGAGATCACATTACATCTGGAAATCTTCCTCCCCCCTTTTTTCCTTGTAAATGAAATTCACGAAACATACATCATGGGCATCCTTAACTGCCAAAAACTCGCAACATCAATTACAATGTGCAAATACAAGTACTGAGATCAACCTGAAGAAAGTGAGTGAAAGAAACGAGAAACAAATATTACAATGATCGCAGTAAATTCAATTGTTTTGTTGATTATTATTTTTATCATTATTTATGTATAGTCATAAGTACTTAATTGGTAATTTATGAATAATAATAAAAAAAAAACTATTACAGTCAAAAGTCGTTAATCCAGACTCGTCGGGACTTTGGCGATTCCGGATTATCGATTTTTCCAGATTATAGATCATCAGTTTAAATCTGGCAAGATGGCATGCAGAAATTATAAAATTAAAAATATGAAACCGTAATTTATGAAATAAAGAACAATTATGATCCAAAGGATATCAAAATTTACAAAAAAAAAAAAAAAAAAAAAAAAAAGAAGAAAGAAGCTTAATATTTATTTGTTTACTTTACTTTCTTTGCTATCGGAAGCGAATTATAATGACGAAGAATTTGATTTCAATCATATCAAAGACGGAGTACATCGAGGTGAAATACTACATTTAGTAAGGAATTATAAGCCAAATAAAATAAAAACATCTGCCATGAAGATAAGGATAGTGCTGACAAATTAACTTCCAATTCATTGCGCGCCGCGGCTTTTCCCCCGCCCTGCAGAGCAGCGTGAAATTGATAAACAGATTTCGGAATGGTTAGAAAAACAAAGGATATGCCTTTATCCATTTTTTGCAGCAATTCCACTTTTTGTTTAATGGACTTCGAAATATACTTTCGCTTTGTAGATCCTTTACATATTAGTAAATATACATTGAAAATTCTATTTGACATAATCGAAAGTTCAAGCTTACTTTTATAAAATTGCTCTAACAGTCTGCAAAAAATAATAAGCTGGATCCAATTCGAAGATTAAGGGACAACGCAATCTGCAACATTAACTGAAATAGATCATTATAATTACATAATTTTAGCTTAGCTTATACCGTCCGTTATACATTAAACACGCATGCTTAAACGTATTTTGGGCATGTGCACACGCACATTCGCAGCCGTAAAGGTCTTATGCGCATGCCCAGAAAGTTTGTAGCATTGAGGTCTGGATTATGGGTGTCCGAATTAACGACTTTTGGCTGTATAAGAAGGTATTATTTCAAATTTTCACCCCAAAACTTTATACATACATGCACATATTTTTATTTAGAAACAATGCAATCTGCCAGAATAAAACGTATTTTTGAAGCAGCTTACAGAATCTACTGGGTTGGGCTGGTCTGGAAGCAATAAAAAATAATGAAAATGAATATAAACTTAACATAGTCAAATTTCCTATGCAACCACCCCTAAAAGAGGAACATCACTTACAGTCATGCTCTCTAAAACAATTAGCTCCACAGAATTTTAAAATATCTGGAACTGTGGATAGTTATCAGAAAATATGAATCTCTTTCATCATATTTAGAAATTAATACTAGTTTAACATTACTCCCTCATCCAAATAAGGTCTTGATAAATAATGGAAGAAAATTTATAATATTCTCTTTATAAAGTGGAAGTGAGATTTAAACTTAAACAAATTAATTTTTTAACATATTAAAGAATAAATGCAGGTATTAAAGAACAATTTATACAGACTTTTAGAGACATCAATCAGTTTCTACAAAATTAATGGCCAACAATTTATAGTGTCTTAATAAAAAGTAATGTTACATTCCAGGAACTCTGCTTTGCATATCAAAACTTCATAATGAGGGGGGAGGAGACTTCATATATAAAGAAAGTCCAGAAAGTAATGAGACTGAATTTTTCAAGCCATGCAGAAGAGATAGAGTTTACCAGCGGTACAGGCTGTCAGCTATTGAGTCTGGCAGAAGTCAGTTGGTCTTGAGCTTTTATAAAGACCAGATCACTCGTGAAGCAGACAAGCGTTTGAAAACGGCATTAGATTTTCAGAATGTAGTGGAGTGCTGAACAGCAATACGGCATGAGGTTTTACGTAAAACTAAAATAATCAGTTACTGCAGCGCTTACAATGTTACCAGATGCTTACAGGAAGGATTCTTTATCCAAGGCTCAAGTGTTTAGGTGGCACAAAGCCTTCAGAGATGGAAAAGAGGACGTCGATGATGAACAATGCACTAGGCATCCATTAAGTACTCGAACTTCAGACAATGTTAGCTAAAATTAAAGTGCTTTTGGACCCTGATCGTCAGATGAAATTTTAAATGATTGCAGAGATATTGGGACTTGAAAAATTGACTGTGCATTAAATCTTCTGCGAAGAACTTCAAATGTAGAAAATTTGTGCCAAGCTGGTTCCAGGGATTTTGACTGACGGACAGAAAGAAAACCGTGAGCCTATTTCCTGCGAATTGTTGCAGCGTGCAACAAGTTAATTCTTTTAAGATAGTGGCTACCAGTGACATGACATGGGTGACACAACATGAAACAAAGTGCAGAGTGGCACACACCCCAATCCCCTCTTTAAAAGAAGGCTCAAGTGCACAAATCAAAACTGAAGTCCATACTCATAACCTTCTTTCACAATCAATGGAATAGTGCACAAAAAGTTCATGCCTCCGAGACAGACAGTTAATGGCACCGAGACAGACAGTTAATGCAGACTTTTACAAGGAAGTGCTTCAAAGGCTGAGGAACCAAATCATGCATGTGTACCCGAAGCTCACAAATGATTAGATTCTGCAACACAATAATGCACTTGTCCATACATCCTTCAAAGTGACTCAGTTTCTGGCACAACACAACATCGCAACGCTGCCTCAGACCTGAGCTGGCTGTCATTGCTGGACTTTTTCTACTCCCTCGGTTAAAATCCAGCAAATACGAGTATGTTACTGTTTTGACACTCTGAAGGAACTTTTAGAAAAATGCAATGAAAAATATTCCACTTGAAGACTTTCAGGTGGGCATAAATGGGTGGCAGAGACATTGACAATGATGTATTAATGCAGTAGAAAGCTATTTTAAAGAATATTCAGTGTCTGTAAAATTATCTTCAAATAAACAAATTTTATGGAATCAGTTTCATTATTTTCTGGATAGAACCTGTATCATTTTAATTAAAAAATTTAAAATGTCAAAATCTAATTTAAGTAATAATTTTTACTTGATATGAATGTTTATCTTAAATAACCACATGAATGCTAATCCTAAATACCATTACTTGAAAATGCATTCATGAATATAAAAACTCATTTCTACTAGCTATTTCAAAACTAGCTACCTTTCAAAAGATTTACATATATTTAAAACACTTTGAGCCAAACTTTATACTTATAAGCTTTTGTGTTTTCAAAGTAGTTAACAAATATAATAAATAAATAATTAAACAGTTATTTAATAACTACCTGAGTCTGTAGTTGATGGAATGTAGATTCTATGTCTTGAACCTTCTTTTCCCATACACTGGCAGCTAACACCAAAGGAGACCTAAGATTTGTTTGAGGTGAAGCATCATTCAAGGATAATGGTCTTTGGGAGCTAGTCTGTGGGCTTATTGCTCCATTAGTACAAGTCATACTAACAGCTCTAGTTGAAAACAGTTTCACAGTAGCAGTTGCTGACAACTCTTCAGCAGTAGTAAAGCCATCAGACTGGAATGAACAAGAATGAGAAATCCTTCCACTCATTTCAACAGTGCATGGTGATTGAGGAGAATCTTTCTCATCCAGGGGAGATGTAACTTTACTCTGGGTAATCTGATTTAATCCTTTAGGTATTACCGAACAATTTTTAAAACAGCAATTAGATTCATTAATTTCAGATGACCGATCTTTTCCAAAATGCCTGCAAAAATTTGGAGAGCAGGATTTAGAACACCGTGCTTGATGCATATGAGTCTTGTCCCTAATCTGATGTGAAATGCATGCTTTCGAACAACAATCTTGAATAGGTTCAATACATGGATGATCTTTCTCTAACAATGAATCGGTAGAGCTTGCATTACTTGTATCAATATTCTTTCTCTTTTTGTCTTCCAATTTTGCATGTTGACTAGTCATGACATTAGACTGAATATGTTGTCTAGAATAAACATACGGCTCACTATTAGTTCTTAAGAGTGGACTTACACCATCCTCAGAGGGTAGAGGTGCAAATGCCGAACAAGGAGAATTTTCTACCGAACTATTTGAATATTCAAAGTAATTCGTTTTATAAGGATGCATAGCACTTTTACCTACATGGACATGACCAATATTTTGATGGTGATTAGGTAATAAACAATAATTATCTTCTGATGAATTGAAAATTGCTGCCATAGGTGTGTAATGCCTAACAGAAGCTATGTTTTTTGTCTGATGCACATTTAACTTCGCATGCAAAGCCACAGTATCATCAAAATGAGAATCCCTTTCAGACTGTAAATTGCCATATTTGTTAACTATTTTAAAGCTGGCACACTCTCCAGAATCCCCTTTGAAACAAGAAAAAGAATTTGCATCATTCCCATATCCATTAAGCAAAGTGTGGTCAGTTTCAGTAGTTAAAGCATTTTTCTCAGCTTCCAAGGTTGCAATATTAGGGCTTATCATACTTTGTAAACCTGAATCAGCGTCAGATACATCAGAAGCTGAAGGCTGCAAATCTCTGCGGGATTTTGGCCTGTTAAATGTGGTGTCAGGAACAGATGATGTAACAGATGATGTTTGGGAAGATGGAGAATACAAACCAGAATTTTCTTGATAAGCTTGAGTAGAATATCTCAGAGCTAAATTTAGGGCTTCAGGGCTTTGACCAGGTAAAAGTTTTTCCAATTTTGATTCTGACAGTGATGCATTATCCCTTGATGAATCTTTTCCTGACATCTCATGCTCAGATAAATTCTGGAAAACACTGGTTTTAGCTTTTGATAAAGCAACAGAAACACTTCTCTGCAGATCTCTGGCCTAAACAAAATAACTGTATAAATTAAATAATAGGTATATGCAGTATATTTTAAATGCCAAATATTTTTACTATTAAACATTACATACAGTTACAAAATAATCAATTTAAGAAATCATATGTTATAATAATTTTCATTTATAAAAATTTTTCATCAGTTAACAAGAAAATATTTGCATGAACAATGAATAAAATAAAATATTCAAACTGAAATTTAAAAAAACATATTTCACACCTTTTCATGCAAATGTCTAATATCTTCAGCTTGTATTTTTCTTAATTCCCTTTCATGCTGCAAGTCCTGCTGTTGTCTAACAGAACATGAAAATATATATATATATTACATATACTCATACAATAAAACATTTAACTATGCATACAACTGAACTATTTATAGCATTTTAATATAGTAATCCCCCTTAACACGAACTAGCTTAAGGCAAACACTTGGTTAACAAGAAAAAAATTTAAATTCTTGCAGTGATGTATACGATCTTACAGTACATAAATGCTTAATGCATAGAAAAACTATTCCAGAAATAAAATTTGACCCTCCAGTTAACAAGAATTTTTTTATATGAACTCTTTTTACGGTCTCTTTAGATATGTGTTAATGAGGGTTTAATGTATGTAATACAGCACATGTAAGTAAAATATACATACTTATATATTTTATTGGTATTTCTTTTCTTTGATTCTACACTTGGAAAACAGACATTATGCTTTTAACTTCCTCTCCACACACATTTTCTGAAGGTCTAAAATGCATTTTAGATGTGTTTTTAAAGCAACATCTAACTACTTTAAAATGTCAAACATGAATTTTAGCTTTTTTTATCCATCAGCTCCCAGTAGAGAGTGATATGTATGTAATATAAAACTGTTTTTATAAAATTACATGATTAAAATATGCCCATAATATATACATGTTCTTTTAAAAAAGCAATGTAGTGACAGATTTTAAATTATTTGTTGGCTTTCAATCATTTTCTGAAGCCATGAGATGCCATTATATATAAAGTTCAATTATTATTTACAGATTATAGATTGACAGAAAATTATCAATGAAGCTAACTCATTAATGTTTAAAATATATAAGCAATACTTAACAAGAATCATAGTTTTCTAAATGAAAATTGGAAAACTGAAAAATAATTTAAAAACACAAAAATGAAAAGTTTTTGAAATAACAAAATTATTAGTGCATTTCATATTCAGTACAAAGTCTGAAATGATCTAAAATCCAGACCTCTCTTTTCATTTTTTTAAGAAGTTTTTTTCATATGCCGTATGCAGCACATTTTGATATTTTTTTATAATAAAACATATGGAGAGTGCCAGTTCTTAATTTCATTTTGGTACTAAATAAAATAGTTCTGTACTAAGAAACAATCATTTAGTAGCATACACCTGTAGCATCAATATTTTGGCTCTGTGGGTGCCCTTTTGCTTGGATATATCTCAAACCAAAAGATTCTACATTGAAACATCATTGATTTTGCATGTATATTGAATACTTTACATCTTCGACACCAACTTGATAAATATTACTTGATGAATTAATTAGTTGTCAATTATTTATTACTAATCGATTTTATGCTTTCATCATTACATGACTATCAACACAGTGCAATTTGATAAATGATTCATGCAGCGATGTCCAAGCATTTTTTTTTAATATTAGTAATTAAATACCAAATACAATGTTGATAGCATCTTTGTCAATGATTATTGACTTCAGCTAACTGCACTGCAAAGTGTTACGTGCACTGACGAGGAGAAATTTAACACAATTTTTTTTCATATGCAAAAAATAGATTTTGTAAATGATACTCATAGGCCAAAAGTTACATTTAGTGATATTTAAATTCAGAACAATTGATTTGTTATTTAGATAAGCCCAGAACTGGTGCAGCAGCACTGGACAGAAGAGTTTAAGAAAGCAAAACTTTTAGAATTTAGGGAAGGCATTTTAGAATTTTAATTTAATTACTACATTTTTTAGAATTTAGGGAATGCGAAATTTAGAGACAGAAAAAATTTTAGAATTTAGGACCTGCAAAATGTGCAGCACCAGCACTGGATAAGCTTAACTATATGTACGAATTTGTCTATTTGGGACTCGGATAAGCCAGGGAATGCGAAATTTAGAGACAGAAAAAAATTTAGAATTTAGGACCTGCAAAATGTGCAGCACCAGCACTGGATAAGCTTTAACTATATGTACGAATTTGTCTATTTGGGACTCGGATAAGCCTTAAGTATGCGCAGAAAATAGGCATAAGTATAATAAATAATAGAATTAATACAATTCCTGCTTAAAGTCATCAGTGTGCAATAGATGCACAAAAATTTAGTCAAACAGCATGTCTTTAGTCACCCATGAGACATCGCCAGATATATAACAGATTCTAGCTTAGCATTATGATGACAGTTGCAAATGTGAAGGTTTTCAGATCTTGGAAACAAAAAGTGAAATTTTCCAATTAATGGAATTTGTGAAGAAATCTGGAGAAATGTTAATAAATGAAGACGATATAACAGAAGTTCCCCCCCCCAATGGCAATTCCCTTTCATCAATTAATTAACACAAAAATCTGCAGTATGGTTCTATGACCAGGAAATAGTATCACTACTGACAGTGAAGACAGCGACCAATTATTGAGAATGATACAATTTCATTTGACAATTTAGATGGAATTCTCCATATGGTTACAGAACTTGAACAATGGAACCTTTTAATTGAACAAGAAATTATTTCTATCCATAGAATTAAAGAGAAAATATTAGCAGAAAAAAAAAAGCCACTTATATAAAAAGAAATGTTTGAACACAAACATTCTTTTTTTGGTAAATTTTGATTGTTCTAAGGTCATATATGGTCCAATATTTCATAAACCACTATTTCATATTTTTAAATTTTATAATTTATACGTGTTATATCTTACTAAATTTAAACTAATGATCAGGAAAAATTCTAAATCTGGAATAACCGAAGTCTTGACAAGTCTGGATCTTGGACTAAATGCAATTTCAAAACTTGCCTTTCATGTTAAATATTAAATCAGAATAATACAATTTTCGACTTATGGTCCCTTCCCCTCCCCCCAAAAAAAAAACAAGAGACAGACAGAAATAAATTTTAAATTCAGAATAACAAACACAGCAATAAATTAGGCTAATTTATCTCTTTTTAGAGCATTATGCTGTGAGCCAATTATTTTATATAAATGTAATGATTTTAAAAAATTGGTGGCATAGTAGAAGCATAAAGACAAAACTCACAGTGACGGCCAAAATTAAATATTCCTTTAAATTTGAGTTGAAAAACATATATATAACCCAACATAGATAAACTGGCATAGTAAGTGCTTGTTCTTTGAAAAACTACATAGGTACAAGTAAATTTCTGAAATACATTTGAAGCAGGCAGTCTAGCAAGACAGAAAAGCAGGCAGCAAGTGTGATATATTTAAAATGAAAACTCTGGACAGAAGAAAAAAATTGTGGTTCCCAAATGAGTTTATTTCGATTTGCTTATTAAAGCAAATAAAAAAAAGGGGATAAATTTTGAAGCTTAAATACAACGTGTTTCAAAAAGAATATCCGTATTTCGAATGCATATATTTATCAAACTGTATGACATGCGAATATGAAACTTTACACACATATGTACGAACCTCTCAAGTTCAGATTGCAGATGTTACAGATGTTCAATATGTCCTCCATCAGCGACACGAACAATATCACATCAATACTCATATTCCTCCCCATACTCAGGCAAGCATGCCCATTGTCACTGATGATGACAGTGTGCATCCGGTTCTTCTCCTCTTCCAGATTCTGTGGGAGTAGTGGAACATAAACGTTGTCTTTAATGAAACCCCACTGGAAGAAGTTGCAGGTTGTTAAATCTGGTGACCGTGGAGGCCAACTGAGACATGCTAAGTCACCAAACCCTTGACGACCAATCCAACGGTTCGGTAGAGTTTCATTTAAATAATTACGCACTTGGCGACACCAGTGAGGAGATGCCCCGTCTTGTTGAAAAATGAAGTTGCCTTCGTGCAGCCTTGGAAACAACCAGTTTTGTAACATAGCGAGATTCTGATGACCGTTAACCGTGTTTGCATTAAAGAAGAATGGGCCGTAAACAGATGATTGGGATATTGCACAAAACACATTGATTTTGAGCGAATCTCGTACATGTTCAATGACTGTATGTGGGTTCTGTAGGCCCCAAATTCGAACACTGTGTTTGTTTACATGACCACTAACATGAAAAGTTGCTTCATCACTGAACGCAATGCGTATGCGTTGTGCGAAAGTGTTATCATTATCAATAATCTCGTTACAAAAAATCCACACGTTAGCGTTTGTCATCAGGACACTGAGACTGTAACAAACGTAACTTGTACAGCTTCATAATCAACCAATGTCTCAAAACATGCCAAACTGTTGTTGTAGGTTGTTGTAACTCCCGACTGGCACGACGAGTTGATTTTGAAGGACTAAATAGGAAAGCAGTTTGAATTCGTGCAACATTTTCGTCGAGGAGGCCAGTTCTCTTTCCTTTACATACACATCCCGTATTTACAAACTGTCAATACCATCTGCGAACGTTCCACCCATTTGGAGGTACCTCAATGTAAAACGTCTTTGCACCGTAATCACGGAATTGCACTTCGCAAACTTGAGAACACAAAATGATTTCTGCTGCGGAGTAGCCATTTTAAACATGCGATGGTTACTACGCAAAACAGAAGACAACTGACATCGAGCGGCTATTAATATAAACTAGACTATGTATTCGTTTCGCCAATAGCCGAGCTGAAGTGAAGTGATCGATAGTTCAGACAAAATAACACTTTGCAATATGTATATATTTTTTAAACACGGTGTATTATTCAGACTAGATAATATTTGAACTTCGAAATTTATTATTGACTGAGGCCTTATGTAAATTACCTGCATCCTGACCTTTCTATAAGAGTTATAAGATGACTATTAATTTTGAAATAACTAGCTTAGAGAGATTTATAATCGGTTACTACTTTTAGGATAGAAAGAGCAAATAGCCAAATTAAAGTGGAAAGTTAAGAGATTATTACAAGTATTTGGATTTATATGCTATATATATGTATATATATGGAAGATAAAAAGCATATAAATCCAAATACTTTTAACTCGTAATATATATACATGCATACACACACATATAAAATAAAAATACGTAAATCAAAATTCTACTTTTAATTTGCAATAATTCTTTAATTACCTATTTTAATTGGGTTATTTCCCCTTTCTGTCTTAAAAATAGTAATTGCTTAAAATAAATCTTTCTAAACTACATCATTTTCAAAATTAATTCCTGTCACACAATTCTAACATAATTGTTAATGACACAGGCACTAATAACACTTTAGCCAATAATAATTTTAAATTTGAAAATCAAAATTTACCCAATAAAGCTTAGTCAAAACTAAATCATTCTGAACAAAGATTTTATCTCTCACACCACTACATTCTTCCTCTAAGTATCTTAATGCTAAAATTGATGACTTTTTTGCAGAATAAAGTATGACAGGAAAACTTTTATAAAATAAAGTCATCATTACATTTAGAGCAATTTAATTTAACTGCTAATAAAACTAATATACCTGCATAGGAATCAGGCATTTTCTAAATAAAATTATTCACATGGGTATAAATGTCAACATCTGCATAAAATTACAATGATCAAGAAAACAACAATTTGCACTGCAGATACACATTACATACATATACATTAACTGAAGCTCTCTAGTATTAACCATCACCCCCCCAAAAATGATTTTCCTATTTATTATTTAAATTTATTTAAAAGAAATTTATAATGCATTTTTTGTGTTCAGCTGATTTACATACATAAAATTATCACATACCTCAAAACAAAGTCTGTTAATCGACACAAATGACCATGTAGATGTTGAATATGATTCTCAAGTCTTCTAAAACGAATTTCCTGTAAAAGTTTGAATACATGCTGATTGTGATTTCTTACAAAATAACCCCTCCACACAGACTGGATCTTGGTAGCAGCTTTTGCTATGTCCTCTTCACTCTTTCCATATATTTCTGTCATCGTTTTGGATTTTATAATTGGTGGAGGAAAACCATGTGCAATTTTAGAATCTTCCGACATCTGATCCTCGTGTTTCCGAGGGCTCAATCCAAAAGCTCTTTTGGTAGGACTCAAAGGAACAGAATATTTTTGCTGCAATATCGGAGAATTGTTCCCAGACTGGGAATCATTACTAAGTGATCGCAATGACCGTTGAGGTGTTCGACTCGTGTGTGTTAACTCTTCAGACGTATCACTTTCACTACTGTTTTTTGCAGCGGCAGACAATCTGGCAGTAAGAATACAACTTCTTGAGGGAGATATTCTACTTTTAGAGGATGTAGAATGAGGAAGTTTAGATCTTCCACTTGGAGGAGCAGATGTACAAGGCGAGGTTGCTCGTTTACTAACTTTTCGGATAAGAGTACCTAGAAAAAATATATATAAAAATTCATTGATAACAACTGTGAATTATTTACTGAAATGTGGAATATAAACATGATTTAAAAATTTGATGAAAAGAAATAAATTAAACACAGTAATAAAATGCTACTAATGGTTATGATAAATAAACTAAATGAAAAAAATTTGTAAATGAAACAAAAATCAGTCATAGATATTGGCACCAAAAAAGTATAGTTTGCAGTACTGTAGTTTTAAAGGTCAAACACAGCCTTCTTTCTCAGCTGTAAATGCAAAAGCAAGATGAAGAAAAGCATGTGCTTAGATGAGAACACAAGCAGTTCTGAATCTTGATGCCATCGATTAATAGCAAAGTAAAAGAAAAGCAAGTAAGATCTTCAGAAGCTTCAAAAACAGTTCTATAGCAAACACAAAGTAGAATTTGAATCATTACATTGGAAAGACTTTTGTGTGAAATTTCTCCAAATTATTCTCCAATTTTCTTGGAAGCGATTTTATGATTTGGGCTAGAATCATTGGTTATTTGCATTACTGCCGAAAAGTCACAAAAAGTATTTATGAGGCAAAGCAGTATGACAGCAGAAGGTTTTTTTACGTAGCAACCCAGGTATGTGCATAGCACATGTCTGCTTTGGCTGGTGCGCAATGCCAAGTTTATGTAATTTTCTGATGCTTTTTAATTGAAAACAGACTGCTGTGCACATGAGAAGAATAACAGTGGGGGGGGGGAAGGTTTCTTGAAATGTTTTATTTCACATGGTTCTTGCTTTTTAAATTTTATTGACCGATTGCTCTAGCATGGAATTCTTAATATACCAGCATTTCCAAAATGGCTCTTACAAGACACTGTATTGCTAACATTAGTGTTTTTCAGTACATCTCTGCAGTTGTTTTATATGTTTTTACCATTTTCTGTTAATTCTGTTTTCCCCCCACAAATGGGGACAGTTTTATATATCTTGTGCTACCGAGCCAATTGATGAATTCAACTTGCACGTTTCCCTGCCTCAAAAGTGTTATTTAGGATATACGTTTAGATTATTTATATATAGGACTGTTCTAATAAATTTATTTTGACACATTGAATTTTTTCTGAAATGAAATGCCAGATTTTTTTCTATAATTTGATTCTATGCCTCAAATTATGCCTAAATACCAAATTTTGCAAAAATCACAGTAGCAGTTTTTTTAAAATTACCATTTAAAATTTTACCCTGCAATTTCAATTGAATTTGGCATATGTTTAATAATATTGACTTGTAAATTAAACTTAATTTCTTCTTCCTAGTTCGAAATTTAGGTTTAATCCAAATAACGGGCATACATTTTTTCTGATTAATTTTTTTAATTTGTATTTTTATATAATATTTATAAATTTTCAAAACAAATTTTGAATTGTAACCTATAACATTTTTACCATCATTTTAAAGTAGATGAATTTCTAGGTGTACCTGCAAAAATGCTTTTTATTCAAAATTTCTGAAGATATACACAAATTTATGTATTGGCACATTCTGAATTTTGGCATGCTTATTATAATTGATAATAATGCCAGATATAGTTTACAAACAAACATAGCATTTAGCAGTGAGCAGAAATGCAAGGAATAGCCTTGATCTTCATTTATGTTTAAGGGCATTTATGCTCATGGGCATGGGCACATCAGATGATCTGTAGTAGTGTTTTATGTTTGCTTGCTGAAGAATTGAAATATGACTCATATTGAATCTTGACATATGAATGAAACTGATACATATCAAATACATCTGCTCCCACATGCATAGCAATAGCCTGCCATTGATGAAATGGCTTTGGTATCCCCCCATAGATAATCTTAAAAAAGGGAGGGGATTTCAAGCAACCAGAATCATGTTTCTTGGCACAAATGACAAGATATAAATTCAAGTAACATAAAAATTATCAGAAATTTTAGGAATAAGAGAAAGTAAGAACAAATAAGCTGTGTAAGTAGTTGGCTGGAGTACTGTATGTTTCATAAAATAATAAATAGCAAGTCTAATAACTGATAGCATACTAAAAAAAAAAAAAAAAAAAAACAGACTCTCTTTACCTTTAGGTGTATGAGCTGGTTTCATCTCACTGGAACTGGAAGGACGGACTCGGCGATCTTCATAATGTTGGTATGGAGATTTAGCTGTTTCATGACTTTTCATTTTAGTTGTATCAAGTTCAACAGAAACCTGTTCAATAGTAATAGGGCTTTTGATAGAACTGTGAAGGATCTCTGATTTTGAAACAGATCGAGGATACTTTCCAGACTGAAAGGACGGAGCACTTTGAGCTGCTTCAGAAGATGAACTACAATGGAATAAAACTTCAGGCGCTGTAAAAAGAAAAATTTTGAATTCAGCATTAAAGAATTCAGATAAATTCAGCATTAAAGAATTCAGACTTTATAAACTGAAAACTGATTTCCAAAATGATTTATGTAAGAACATTTCAAACCATATATAACATAAACAAGTATAACACAAAAGATTTTAAATAGAAAAAAAAAAAGTAGAATCATATTATGTTTTTCTTTTCTTCTTCTGACACCAGTTGTTACGTTATTTTCTTTTTACACGTTCGTACGAGTTCGTAGATTTGGAGTGAATAACGACGACACTTGATGAAGAATTGAAATACACTTTATTTAGCCAATATTAATCAGGACAGCTCCAAAATCATGTTTTACAGTCGTCGAACATCTACTTTATAGTAACTACTACACTATCAGGCAATAACGGTGGAGACAGCTTCCTGCAAAGCACCCGACTCTGCTTGGTCATTCTCGGAACTCCACGTACTCTCGAGACTCTCCACGCTACAACTCGTAATGCACTCGAAGACACACGAGCACAGCTCCCGACTCTTCGGTTCAGTCGTTCCCGAAGCTCAACATGCTCTAACCGCAATACACTGCGATACTTTTGGTGCACTTGAGGACCCATTCGGCACTCGCTGCCTGGCTGTCAACTTGATAGACTCCGCAGGGATTGACTGGCTAGACGAGACACCAACTCGATACTAACTAACTCGCACTCTAGACGAGGCACACACACTCGCCCTCTCGATGAAGCACACTAACTGACTGCAGACCAGCAGGGTTTATATAGCTTTCGGCTTGTATTCGGGAACATTCTTGGCTAAACCGGTAAGAATTCGTTCCAGAAGGTTCTCCATCCGTCCATGGCATATCGAAAATTTTGTCGCCAAATGGGCGATTTCTCGCCAAATGTGGCAACCATGCCTTCCCTTGCCATTTCGTAACAATACAATTATTGCAGAAATCCAATAAGAACCAGTATGATATTTGTAAATTCTGCAAGACTAGTTTCGATGGTTCTGTAATTAAGCCAACTAGTCCTGCAAAATTTACAACCATTACGTTGATTCTTGTTGTTTGACTTCTCCAATAATCATATTTGGCATGTTATTTTAACCTAAATTATAGAATCAAAGGATTTTATAAAATATAAAACATCAAAAAAAAAAAAAAAAAAAATGAAAGGCTTCAGATTTTAAATTACATCTAAAGGGGCATTTTTTTAACATTTTGTCTATTACCTTTATTTATTAAACATCACGTGCTTCGTACTTAAACCATAAAATTTAGTTCAAGAGCAATAACGCAAAACAGTTTTAAATTGAGCATATCTTTAGAATTTCTGATACAGAGTCTCGTGCGCTGGAGATAAAAATGTTTTTCTGTACGATGTTGCCATTGCTGGCTTTGAAATCCTTGAGTTTGTTAATCAAAAATTTGTTAAAGTTTTACAAAATATGAAATCGATAATATAACAAATTCCAAATTTGGGCTTCCACATGCCCATATTTGCAGTAGGATTACGTCATTCAAAATTCAATGGCTCTATGTACTGTTGTTTTATCACAATGTGAGAAATATACATACATTTATGCAGATTTTTCATTATTTAATTTCTTCAAATATAATACAGGACTCTAACATTTGGTGGCAACAGTTAGAAAAGTGAAACGGACATTCATAGTGAACCAACGCAAAATCACAAAATGAAAACAACAGTCCTTCAGGAACAAAGGCCCTTTGGACATTATTTTCAAAATTATGGGATCCTTCCATCAAAAAATTGTGCATTAATGGATACAATAAAGTACTTTATTTGAAAACTAATAAACAACAGCAATGCAGCATTTATGGCTGCACTCTAATTCATTTACAGCTACTTGAGAGAATGAACTTGTTAAATGTGATACAGAACACCTGGATATGACCAGCAAAACAGTAACAGATTTAAACAATTATCTGCTGGAAATATGTACCCACAGTGTTTTAAAACAAAGCTTCTGTTAACTTCAAAAGGCCTAACAATGCAGTAGAAATCAATGAAAGACTTTTAACAACAAAAAAAGGGGGAATACTAGTTATTTATTAAACAAATAGACATCAATCCCTTCAGAATTTTACAAGAAAAATTGGTATAGCTTTGGAAAGATCTCCACCAACTTTCATGGTTCAGCGATAGCCAATTTTTATGGCCAACAAAATAATACGTTAAGTATCAAAAATACTGCCTATCAATATATTCCTCCTATCAACTAGTCATAATTTCCTTAATAAAATTATCATTAAATAGTTTTTCAGACAATTAAAAATTAATCTATACATTTATATATATACACACACATACATACTGTCAACACTTAAAATAATTTCCACATTAGAACTTCCAGTAAACAACCATTATACTGATTGTCAACACTAATATTAGAAAAGTTTTATAGAGTCATTAAGTTATTTTGAAGCAGGAGACGTTAAAAATGTGCAATGCTCTCGCTGAGACTCGAACCATGGACCTCTTGATTATGTGTCGAGTATGCTTCCAACTACACCATGAAGGGATGCAGAAAAGAGGGAGAAAATACCTTATCTATCTCTCTCTATATATATATATACAGAAGAAAGTTTGTGTATTTGTCCTCTAATAATTCAGTCACTATTATAGATATCGTTGCCAAACTTCCTATGATTCTTTTCTGAATCCTGGAAACAGTCGGCGTCCACTTTCAAAAAAAAAAAAAAAAAAAAAAGCTAAAAGCAGAGGTATTAATTAAAAACTTGGAAAAACGATAATTTTCCTCCTCATTTTTCCCAGTGGCAACAGTCTCGCAAGCTGGAGATGGAAATCTACTTTGCTTCAAAAGTTGTTGCCACTGCTCGCTTTCAAATCCTAGAGTCTGTTAATAAAAAATTTCGAAATTTTACGATGAAATAAAAATAATATTGTTAAATATTAAATATATTATTCTCAATTCTAAAAATTCGTGGAAAGCTCTTTCGACTATGTACGACTTTAATCAGACGTGATATTAATTAAAAACTCCGAAAACATTAATTTTCACACTCATTTTTTCAAGTGGCAACGGTCTCGCGAGTTGGAGATAAAAATGCTTTATTTCAAAAAGTGTTGCTACTATTGCCTTCAAATATAGAGTTTGTTATCAAAAATTTATAAGTTTTACAAAATCTATATATACTCGTATAAGCAAGAATGTTTGTTTGTTTGTTCACGATATTGATTTCTTATGTTATGATAAATTTTTTCCCACATTTCATCAACTAAAATTGACTATAGGTGAAATATTGGATGGATCTTGAGCTTTTACAGCTATTTATTTGATTAGAACGATGAAAATCATTAAAAACTGCGTGCCATTGTAGCTGATATAGTGAGAGAGAAAATTAGTTTATTTTCCTATTGAAATTTTTTACGTAAGCTCCATATTACATCAGACTGAAAAATGTATGACTATGAACCATATTTTTTGCATCATTATTAGAGAAGGATTTCAGCGGTATCGTTCTCTTTGTTGTTAGATGCATTACTCTCAATCTAACTTAATTGCCATCAGATATTTCTACTTGTAGTTTATAATCTAAGACAAAGTTGGATTAAAGGTATTACAGCAAAGCACATATGGGCTATTTTCTTAAGGGGATGAATGTTTTTGTGGAAGACTTTCTAAGGGACTGGCACATGGCATTTTACATGACACATGGGAAAAACATAAAAACTCTTATAAAGCCAGACCATTCACTGAGATATGAATTCAGGTTCAATTAATACTATTCAGAAATTTTACAACATAACTTTAATTTATTCTACAATTTTACTATTCAACCATCTATAGTTTATTATTAATGTGAGCTTGCAAATCATCAAGTTTGAGAGCTCTCACTAATTTTGCAGACCTTCTTGGTTTAAAATCTAATGAGATGTTACTTGTCAGTGAACACATAGAAAGATTAAAAACAACACACATATTTCTTTAATATAAAATTTTTTAGCAATTATAATCAATTTTTCAAATCAAAGACCAATTCTGAATGAAGAAACCTTCCATGTATTTTTTTAGAATCTTATCCAGATTCTTTTTAAATCAATGCAAGAAGAGAGGAGAAAAGATTATTTCAAGAGTTATCATGAATAAACACTAAACATGAACTTATTACTAAGTTACTAACTATTACTAAGTTCATGTTTAGTGTGTTTTCTTTAGACTGATTTAATTTAAAAAATTAAGAATATGGTACTTAGAGGTGCCATAAGAGGATACCAGTTATCTATTGAAACCGATACAGGCACTCCTTCCCCAATTCTTTTTTAATGAGTGCTTCTATTAGATATTAAGAAAACTAATGTTTTCAAAGTTTTTAGTTACGATATTTAACAGATTTTCAAGTTAGGATTTGAAAGACCTGAATGATGCTGAGAGTGTGTAGATTTGAACTTTCGAATATCTCATATCTATTTCATATGGCAACACCCAATTTAAAACAATAAAAAAAAAGAGAAGGAAAGAAGAAATAACATAATGCCTATACTTAATGCATTTAGCAATGTTAAAATATGCTTTAAGTAGCCAATCTTAAAGCTTCTTTATATATATTTTTTTTTCTAAAACTCAGCCTATTTTACAAGAAACCTCTTAATCAGTCTTAAACTAATTGGGATAAAAATGCGGCTTTGAAGTAAAGGCCTTTTTTAACATGCTCAGAAGCACATCATCTTTAAGATCTTTATTCACAAGTCACTGTGTGCAGTGACATTAAGTTCAATTTAATTACAGATTTCTGAGCCGAGTGATATCTTCAGCCTCATAAAGGAACTTGCATTGTGTATGAATATACGGCATGTAGTTGAACATGAAGTGTAAAATTCATGTTTTGTCCAGTTCTTTGGGGACAGTGTAAAAACCTTCATTAAATTTTCAAGGAATATTTAGCTCTATTAACATTATCTACTTGGCTCTACCTTACTTTTAATGCAGTGCCACTGAAAATGAAATCTGAGTCTCTCATTCCTTTTTTCCTATCATTAACCTCTTGAGATGACTTTCAGAAAGACAGGTTTTAAATGCTCACACTTCACATATGGACTAGTTATAAATATCTGTCCCCTGCTCAATATTCGAATGATGGTTTGTCAACCAGCTTCCACAAACCAACATAGATAAATTCTTGCAGATAGATTCTTCTTGAAACATTCTGTTTTCTACCAGAATGTTTCAAATGGCTGACAAACCAACATACCAAATACGGTAGTAAAGGCTGTTTCACCTTTTGAATGAAGCAGTTTTTGGATATATTGTCTTTAATAATATTCTAAACTGCTATTATGAATGGGACCACATTATACTTTGCTTTAACCAGTGCTGAATATATTACTAGCTTCCCCCCACAAAAAAATCATTAATTCAAAATTTCATTCAGTTAAAATTTTTGGCTATTTTCAAACATCACTTCATGAATTATGGACAGAAAAAATAATATACCTGATTCATACATAATCTTGGAAGGTACAACATTTGAAGCCAGTGGCATTTCTGCTTCTTGACTCTTAGTAATGGTATCAGTTTTAAAGTGGTATGATTGTGCCATGCTGGTCATTGTTTCACCTCCACTTACTTCTAAAGAATCACCATGATGAACCTGAGACAATTCATTTAGAAACTGCTCTTTATGTTGACGCTGCATGTGTAAAATACGTGACAACTTTTCATCTTCTTCTTCAGCAGACTGCAAAAAGATACGATAAAAATAAATCGTTACGAGGGGGAAAAAGTACCATTATATTATTCACTGATAATGCACAAATATCAAAGTATCAGGCATTTTCAAGCGATGGTTGAAACAATTTTTATTTCTAGGATTTAAAAATGATTTAAGACTTAATGAACAACACATTTGAAAGATTAATGAACTTATACCTAACATATCCAGTATTCTTTATACAGCCACTGTTTATAAAAGCATAAACATTTCAGGAATAGTATTTTTTTTTTAATTTGTACCAAGAAGTTTTAAAAAATATATTTTATGAATTTAAATAAATATGTAACTAGCATTTAACATACCTGATCAGCTGGAACAGGACAAACCTGACACAAATATTCAACAAGCTCTATATGTTCTCCAGGTTTAAAATGTCTTCCTTTACCTTGACTATAAAGCCATTCAGCTTTTAGACTGAAAAGCGAAATAAAAACATTTGTGAATTCCAGATTTTACATTAAAATATTAGTCTTATTAATGCAATTAAATCAAAAGCTTTACCTTTCTTTCTGTGTGGCAACATGTCCATCTAAAAGTCGCAGCCCCAAGCACCAATTTATAATAAAAGGCCGATAATCAAATGCACTTTTACAGTTAAGAAAAGATTTTAAAAAAACCTGCATATATGCTCATCCATAAAAATTTATTACCCATCTTAAGTTTAAATTATTTTGCTTAAAATTAACTGTTTACAATAAATGTGAAAAATGATTTATAACAGGAATAATTCACTCTTTTATTTTTTTTTTCTATAAAAAATTAAAGAAATGCCGTATAAGAAGGATACGGTAAAGATAATTCTTCAGAAGATAAACATGGATTCCCTGAAATAGTCAGCTGCTCTAAGCAATGCAGTTTCACTAAATACGATATCTGAAAGGGGAAAAAAAGGGAAATTTGCTACAAAATGATTTAAAATTTATAAATATTAATAATACTTACATTATTTGAAAAATGATTACCACAAAATAAAATAAGCAGTTGCTAAACTCTTATATTCAGCAATCAGAAATAACTGGATATTAAAAAAAATTATGTATGATCAAATACCAAAAATGTAAATCTTTTAATTACAATGCAGATGCAATTGAACTACTAATTTTATTCTGCTGTCATGCAAATATTAATTAATAAGTTAGAGCAGTGGTTCTCAACCTTTTGATTAATGTGTACCATCTGAACAAAATCTGAAAAACTTTAGTACCATCACAATTTACAATGATTATTTTTTAGTCTCTCAATAGAAACATTAAAAAATACATTTTGCCATTTGTACAAACTATTAGCTATTTGTATTAAATATGCACACACAAAAAGTATCAGATTAAAAATTGGTTACCATTTTAATCATCAAAATTTCCATTATAATATTTTAATTCTAAAATTTAGTGTGAAATTTAGGCCTGTTTAAGAGCGATGAATTTCTCTATGTCTGGTCTTATTTCGCTTAGTTTTAATCGTAAATTAGAATTCGCTTTTAATTTTATTCTGTATTTATTTTTAATATGTAATTCACAAAAACAGGCTGTGTGAAAAGGCAATAAAAATTTAATAGCTTTATTCAAATGCCTTTAAATTCTTTCTTGTTTCGATTCAGTCAAAAGTTAACAAGCAGCCAAAAGTGATATTTTCAGTTTGAGTTTGATCACAGGAAATTTCTATCAATTGTTCTTTTTCTTCCCACTATAACATTTCAGGTGCATTTGAACAAAATGGATTACTAATCCAATTTTCTTTTCATAATCCTTGGGAAAATAAATGTTGAAATTGCTTATCAATGAAAAACAATGATTTTTAATTTTAGATATTATTTCTTTTATTTTCAAAATATTTTTGGCTAGAAAACTTACTAAAAGTGGTCAAAAGCTTAAAATATTATTAGCCAATTCTTTGATTATTACTTCAAGATTTTTTTATCATTGTGTTTTATTTTATCTCTAATGGTAAACAAAATTAACACTTTTTCCTTGTAATCCTATATTAAATTCATTTAATTTTCCAAAAATATTAGCTAAATATGCTAAGCGCGCCAACCATAATTCACTTAATAAACATTTTTGCAATTCAAGTTTCGAATCATAGAGGAATACTTGAATTTCTTCTATCACAAAAAAGAGCGATTCAAAACTTTGCCTCTGGATAACAAACCTTATTTCGGAATATAGCAAAAGCGTTTCATGCTCACTGCCCGTTTCTTGGCATAAAATCTCAAATATTCTTGAATTTAAAACAAGAAATTAATAATATTACAATTAAACAAATTACAACTTTTAGTAAATTAACAATTTCCGCAGCTTGATTCAAAACGATTTTCAGGTTTTGGGGGATTGTTTTGACTGCTAAATAAACGAATTCACGATGAACAGAGAAGTGAGTAAATTTAGTTTCAGGTGTGACTTTCTTTATTTGAGAAATAATACCGAAAAGTTTTCCTGTTAAAGCCCGAGCTCCGTCTCTGCACATGGCAAATCATTTATTCCAAGAAATATCATTCTTAGACATAAAATAGTCAATTATTTTAAAATTTAATTTGCAGTTGCTCTATCGGGGAGATTCAAAATGTAAATACTCTTTGGCAATTCGTTTATCTTCAAAGCGTATGCAAACTAATAATTGAACAAAGTTTGTTATATCAGTACCTTCATTCAACTGCAATGCAAATTACTCACAGTGTTTTATTTTTTGAATAAGTGTCTTGTTGATGGAATTTGCCCTTTCGTGAATTTGCCGATTTGCTATACCATTTGATAATGGAATATTATTAAGTTCATTAGCTGCTTTTCGTTGAACAATGTTAAAAAAATATCTTTAGTTGCTGGGAATCTACAGTTTTTTCCAATAGTATGAGCCTGCCCAGTCTTGGCAGTTCTTAGGCTTACAAGGCAACTAGCTTCCAAAGCTTTCTCACTTGAAGTAACAAAATCTTTCATTACTTGTTTACTGTTTTTGAACTCCCAGCCAAAATTTCCTCTTAAAATATTCTTCAGGTTTATCTTTTAAATTAGCATGCTTAGATTCAAGATCTCTCTTAAGAAAAGATAGTTTCATACTTTGATTGGATAATAGTTCACTGCAAACAACACACTGAGGTTGAGAGTCCATTTCATCTCCATTCCAAGTGAACCCAAACAAGGAGGTTAAAATAGAAGGAGGGAAAGTTCAACTCAAATGGTGAAGCTTGGCGGCCATGTTACTATTATCGCTGTGACTTGTGCAAGGAAATCTGTTATTGCAACTTTTTTTTTTTCTTTTTGAAGCATATCAGATTGTGTTGCATATGGATGCAGAAACAGATTTTCAAAAAAGATTCCTGGGATTACTTTTCACGCGTAAGTATTGATTTTCTTTTTTTATGTAATTTAATAACTATGTTAAAAAGTATCACAATGTCATGTTGTTTTCTTTCCAGATGTAAAAAAAGGACTTAATAATAATCAAAATATGTTAAATACATTTTAATGTTTCTGTTTATAGCTGGCATCTTTGTTCCTTAACATACAATGATATATGCTAGGATTTAAACTGTATAACTTGAACGTTTTAGGTAATTCGTTTATAACTTTCATGAAAAATAAGAAATCAATTGTTACTATTTTTATGAATTGTAAAGGTGTTAAATAAAAGAATGCTTTTTTTTATTAATTATTATTCATTTTTTTGTGAACTGTTACAAATATAATTTGTGCATTTGATAAAGATAAACTGTTCTGTTAAATTTTTTTTGCATGAACTTACAAATTTCTGGGCAGTATAGCGATAAAAGTAAGTAAAATATTTATTCAATTGAACATGTGGAAAGATGTATCCAAAAATTTATATAGATATACTTCTGTAATTCAGCTTAATTCAAGGCAATTTCTTCGAGATTTATAAATATGATGATGTTTTTTTCACTGTTGCATTTTTTTATTCAATATCAGACGAAGACATTTTCCCATTATGCATAGAAATTTTCTGATCAGGAAAGCATTAGGAATAAGTGGGAATAGAATTTAAATAAGTTTTTATTTTTTTTTTTAAACTTGAAGATGCACTGAGTTGAGCAACCATCTAAATCCACCATCCCTTAATGAGCTGTTGCTTTTGACATGTATAATGCAAATCTATTTGCTGTTTATTTTTATCTCTATTTGTTTAACATTTTCTGATTCAATGAAGTTATTTCATTTACTGTAGCTTAATCAAAATTAACAGTTTTCTCAGGTTTCCACAAAAACAATCTTCCCCTCCCTTAAAATACTTCTAAAAAATGATAAATGGATAAAAGCTACAATGTGTTTTTTTAATTGAAATTAAGAATTATTTAATTTTTAAAGTATGCTAATAAATGCTTTAAAAAATGAAATACTATTTGCATAAAGTACCAGTCTTCTGAAATCAGCTATGACAACAACTGCTATAGCCAATAAATGATACTTGAATTTCTATTTTAGTGTATTACAACTTAAAGCTGAAGTATTTAAGCATACTAAAATAACTTTCTTTCCTCTCTCTTAATTATTCTTAATCTCTCTTAATTTTGTATATGAAATTATTCTTTAATAAATTATGATAATATTGTGAATAAATCTTAAATATCACTTCTTAAAAGAAAAATTGGAAAGTACACCCAACAGGTTGCTAATAAAACCTAAACAAATTCTTGAAATACGCAGAAACATCATTTTTTAAAGTCTTGAATGTTATGCACATGCATTTAGATTAGATGATTTTCTGTACGTAGTAAATTACGGATACCATCTAATTTTTAAACAAAGAATTAACAATAGCGAAGCATTTCATTATAAATTTAACATTTTTTTACTGGAAAATACCTGCACGGAACAGCTTAGAAACACGTACATTTCATTGTCGTAATGCAATATTTTGAAGTTACAAACATGGACGCCACTTGTTCGGTGGAATTCCATTTCCCGATAGTAGAGGAAATTGCGAACCCTACCTCCTTCTATTCTAACCTCCTTGTACCCAAATGATAAATAACTTTCATTACATTTTCTAAAATAAACAATTTTTCTTTTCTTTTCAACATTCTTAGCTTTAGTACTGAAGTGAATCATCACTTTTCCACTTCAGGCCTAGCCATTTTTCCATTTTGAAAATCTACGTTTATTTTATTATTTTTTCACAATTTTTTAAATGCACAATCTATTACAAGTTCTTCAAAAACAAATGATGATATTCTCAAATTGCATAGAAAAGTAAGAAATACAAAGCAACAAGACAAAATATCTACACTGTTAGGAACAGCAAACTGACGCAAAAAAAAAAAAAAAAAAATGTTAATTGAGAATTAAATATGAGCCCAGAAATAGTGCCGACATAAAAAGTGTAGATATGCTAATAAATTGATCAGCTCTAAAAGAATTAATGAGATATTATTATCTTTTTATATCGACTTAATTTTTTAAATACGACATTCATTTCTATTACTTCTTTTAAAAACATTATTTATAACAAATTTTTTATGTTTATGGCTAAAAGAATATTTGTGAAAATAAAAACAATTATTTTGCTAAAATCTATGAGCGGCCACTGACCCAAAACTCAGATTGAATAAATTTAGAGAAAAAACTTAAACAGGATGGTGGGGGATTTAATTTTTGAATTTAAAAGTTAAAAATACTTTGTTTCTTTGTGTACTACTGGCTGAGAATCATTGAGTTAGAGGATGTTTCTATTTTAAGATAAATTTATAAAAAGAGCAGTTTAAAAAATTTAGTAGTATACATTAAGCAAGATGTTTAGATTTCTCAATCTATAATGACAAAATGCAATTAAATTCAGTTATTGCTTCACTCCACTTCTAAAGACTTCCTTGCTTGGCAGGTTAAGGAATATTAAAAGCATTAAATAACTAAAATATAAACCAGTTTTTTTTTAGCTTGTAATGATATGATGTTCATGAGGGAAATGTAAATTGTATACTTATTTCAGTAGTCTCAAATTCCATGTAGGTTGAATGCTCAATCTAAAAACATTTGCAGACCAGAATATTTTTTATACGAAATTTAAATATCTTTAACAAAACAATATTAAAATTTACTTGCTGAATATTTATCAAAACATACATAAACAATAATAACACAAAGGAAAAAATTCAGCTTTAATTTGAAGTATAAAGGTTGATACTTGCCAAAAATTTCTATTACACTAATTAGTTACACTTTGCAATTCAAACACATATGAAAAGCTAAAAATTAAATTTTAGACTGATATTTTGTTTTCAGGTAATTCCAATATTATTGAATTAACCACTAAATAACTTACTTTTAACCAGAAAACCAAAATAGAAAAATGTATAGTTCAAGCAAGGTATTTTAATAACATAATAATTCTAGAAATACAATGTTGGCCATGTATAAATAATAATATTCAACTCATATCATTACTTCAATATGATCAGCTAATAAAAATTACTGAATGTAATAAAATATTACGATAGCATTATAGAACCAGAAAAGATCATGTGACAAATACAATACAAATTCCAAAATTCTGACGTACAGCATCTTGAATGACCTAATATTCAAACTAACTGCCAGTCATTTTTTTAAATTATATATTTTTTTAATTTTTGCTTACAAATGCTAGGAATGGAAAACAGAATACATAAGAAAAAAAGCATATGTGCCATAAAAGGAATTTTTATCCCATTTAACTGAGATTCCTGCATGTCACTTTCAAGCAACAACTAATTAGAAAATTACACCTTGGTTAATAGCAATACACTGACTGATGTCAGCCATGATGAGAGTTCTCTAAGTGAGAATTCTTGATATTGCAGTTACAGGGCTTGAACAATGGAATTTTGTAGCTGAACAATAAATTATGTCTATCTATAAAATTAAAGACAAGCATTAAAAGGCGAAGGCAAAAAATGAAACTACTTAAAAAACTTACATTGAAAGAAATATTTAATAAAATGAAACAAATAACTACTGAGCTTTTTCTTTTTCTTTAATTTTTGATTCCCTGAAGATCATTAGTGCTACATTTTATAAACAACTCTTTCATATTTTTAATTTTATAATTTCTACATGTCATCTTAATGGATTTAAACTGATGATCTAAAATGCAGAAATTTAAGAAATCCAAAATAGCCAGAATTTCTACATGTCATCTTAATGGATTTAAACTGATGATCTAAAATGCAGAAATTTAAGAAATCCAAAATAGCCAGAGTCTTCATAATTCTAGATCTTGGACTTTGTACCGTAGCATAATTAACTGAACCATGATATGCTAATAACTATTATTAATGTAACAACAGCATAGTATTATTGAAAGAATCAAAAGAGATATGTGACTAATAGTATTTTTGTAATATTTATAGTATTTTTTGATAAATCTACATTTTTAACAGGCTGCACACATTATGATTTAATTTTAATACTTTGCTGTACATGAATTTGTAAGAATCATTAAATTAGTTGCTTTTGAATTACAACATGAAAACTCACTTCATTTAAATCAGCTATGCAGTTATCAGCTAAGGACAAAGTACAAATGCAAGGTGGAAGATAGGATGAGGCACGATTTAATGTGGATATTTTGTTTCCATTCAAATGAAGAGTCTGTATATGAAAGAAGATAAAATATATTATCCAGAAACAAAAGACAAAATCTTAAAAATTAATATAGCCAGAACACTTCATACAGTAACAAATGTCAGGTTATATGATGAATAATATTGATTTTCAAAATAAAATATGCAACCATGCTAGTGTTAATATGCTGACATACCAAATAGTACATACTTTTATTTCCATTCTCTTATAAATGAATAACGATTGCTCAATTATCATAAAAATTACATTCAATGAAAAAAAATATTTTTTTAAAAAGAGGGGAGAATCCAAACAGTTAAAAAACACGACAAAACAGAACAGACAAATTTTTAAACCATTACCAGGAGTGAATAAATATGCTGAAATAACCAAGGGAAATAATATGAAAATAAAGATTTTCTATAAAATTTCATTTAATCAATTAATTTAATTAAAAGATGATATGAAATTACAGTTTTTCTTTTTGGGTGCATTAATATTTGTCCAAAACTTATAGATGAATATCATTATGTAATATTAATGCCAGAAAATACAATGGATCATCATCAACTTATTCTAAAAATATGCCTTAACTCTTTCGCATCGAAGTCGCACGTAACGCCCGTTCATTCAGGCAATGGCAAACCGCCCCAACGCATCGTTTATTTTCTACCTAGTTCTTTCCCCTCCATGTTAGTGTATTTCTCATTGGTTTCGCGAGTTGTTAAAAGACATGTCAATCATTCTTTTGAAGCAAATAAAGGAGAAATACGAAAAGCCATTAATGTTCGCAGGTGCAATCCGGCTCTAAGGTGAAACTGCACACATTGGATGAAACCGCTGAAAAACCCCCATGAGAGAAGCAGTCATTTCCCTTAAGAAGGTTATTGTTAATGCAATACTAGGCAAGGGGAAAGGAAAACTATTCCAAGACAAATTCGTAAACACGGGCGTTTCCGATGTTTGATGAAAACAGATCTGGTCGTCTCTCGATGCGAAAGAGTTAATCTGAAAATGTACTAATACAGAAGGCTGGCAAATATACAAATTTCTTACTTGTGATTTTAATGCTAATCAAAATCAGCTGCAAAAAACAACAGTACAGTTGACAAATTGTGTTTGTCAGAAATTCTCTTTACAAAATGAAAAAAATTCTACAAAATTGAAATTTTCATCATATCCTAAAGACGACATTTCAATTACTCATGGTTTATAAAAAAAATTTGGAAGAAAGCTTCCACTAAAGTTCCTACAAAGATTGAAATCACATAAAATGTTATCTCCAGGCTTTGAGCAGAAATTCAAATAATTGGAATATACAGGGTATCCATAATTAAACTTGAAATTTGCAAGCAGTCTGTAGCAAAAACTAACAGCAGAACTGCATGAAAACTGGGTAACGGCAGAATGAAATGATGGAAATTTTAAAAAGGAAAAAAAAATGAGTTTTAAAAAACCACCCCTAAATGGCATATCATAGCTTTAGTGAGAACTCATAAATAATCCACAAAAGTTTATGAAACATGCTCGATACGATGTCCTCAATTGTCTGCTACCATCTGGAAGTGTAAAACCGCATGTTTGGCTGTTGAAAGTAGCATGAACTGGGGAATTGTTATGCACATGGTGTTCTATGCTTTCCTTAAGATCGGATAGAGATGTGATGGGATCACAGTAGACATGGCTTTGAGGTATCCCCACAGCCAAAAGTCGCAAGGATTCAAGTCGGGGCAACTAGGAGGCCAAACCGTAGGAAATTGCTGAATGATGATTCTGTCGTTCCCGAAATGGCGACGGAGCACTTTTTTCACACAACGGGAGATATGTGGACGAGCACCATCCTGTATTAACACTGAGGTTGTAGCATATCACCTTGCCTGAAAAGCCGGAATAATGGACTCCTCTAATAATGAAGCATATCATTGACTCGTAATGGTGCATATCACAGGCCCTGCAAAGCTGTGCTCTTCGAAAACACAGACCCACAATGAAGGTTGCAGTAAAGCTGCACCAAACCGTTACATGTGAAGATCGTAATGGAATTTGTACGAATTGATGTGGGTTTGTAACAGCACAAATATGGCAATTGTGCGTGTTAACTGCACCTTCCATATGAAAGTGGGCCTCGTTCATCCACAAAATGTTCTTTCATCATATTGGCCATTCATCCTTGAACTTAACTCGTGCAAGAAACCACAATGCAAAAATTTGCCGACTATTCAGATCAGCTGGTAAGAGCTGCTGCACTAGCGACAATTTACGAGGGCCATCCAGGAAGTAGATTACGTTTCCGTCTGTGTCCGCTAGGGGTGGGGCTAGCGCGGCCATCTTGGGGTCAGAGCGTTGCGCAGCTCAGTCTGCATCTAGCCGTGCTAGTGAGAGGTTCGTGCTGTGCTCCGTTCAGATACTGTGACGGTTTGAAATATCTGCGTTAATTGAAAATCCCGCGAGCTGCGAGGTGCGCTCAGTAATAAGGTTTTTCTGACTGCAAAAAAACTGTAAACCGATAGAAATCTATCGGCAGCTTCGTGAAGTGTATGGGGACAACATTATCACTGAAGGTGGAGTGCGTCAGTGGGTCATAAGATTTCAAAATGGCCGAACCAATGTTCACGACGAAGATCGAAGTGGGAGACCCAGCATAGTGACCGCCGAACTTCTCGAAAAAAGTCGATGCTAAAGTCCGTGAAAATCGAAATTTCACAATAACGGAACTTTCTTTGAGTTTTCCACAAATTTCGCGAAGTTTGTTGCACGAAATCATCAGCAAAAAGCTTGGTTACCACAAGTTTTGTGCAAGATGGAAGGCAAGAAGAGGTAACGAAGTGGTTGAAGGCGCAGGCGGCCGAATTTTTCGACGAAGGAATTTCCAAGCTCGTACATCGCTACGATAAATGCCTTAATTTGTATGGTGACTATGTAGAAAAGTAGTATTTGAGTGTGGCTTTCATCTGTATATAATAAAATTTGTTTCCTATACTTTGTTTATTTTTTTATTCCAAAACGTAATCTACTTTCTGGATAGCCCTCGTATAAGGATAAAACCTTTTGAAGAATCTTATGAACCGTGGAATGAGGTTGGTCCACAGATGCTGCAATACGCCGAACACTAGTGCTGTCGATGGTTTGCGATCTGTCTTCCTCCACTTGCGTCGCTACATCATCCATTACCTGTCCTGCAACAGACATTCGTCCCTTCCTGGTTAAATCTCCAATGTTCCTATTGCTTCAAATTTCCTAATCCTGTTTGTTAGTCCTTGACTAATGAGTGGATCTTTTTGTAACTGCTTCCAAAGACCAAAATTTCCTCAAAGCTTTGATAGCAGAGTCTCAGTTTTGGTAAAATAATTTCACCACTAAAGCACATTCCTGGAAAGTCAACATCATCTTTTTCGACTTGGAAACAAGTATGATCTCTTACATCTTTACAGGGTTATGGCCACACATGATTACTATGGTTATGACATTTGCATATGCCAATAGTTTACATTGCACAATGCCATCTAGTGGTGATTTTTGAAATTCATTGTTTTATTTCCTTCGATAAAATTCCCATCATTTCATTCTGCCATTACCCAATTTTTATGCAATTCTGCTGCATAGCTTTTGCTACAGACTGCTTGCAAATTTCAAGTTTAATTGTGGACACCCTGTACTTCATGTGCCCTATGAGAGGTTATCCTCCCTTTATAATTAAGCACTAATGCAATCAATACTGCTAAATACAGTGGATATCACGTGGTCAGCCAGCTTGAAAATTACCTAAATTGCACCATAAGAATAAAACTATTCCACTAAAATGTAGCTTCATATTTGAACTGGATTAAGGCTATATGCCTGAAGACTGATCATCTAGGTAAAACTATTCAGAGACACTATAGAAGGCATTTACAATGATGTCAGATTCAACAAAATTTAATACTGAAGCAGTCAACCAATATTTTGTACTCGAGTAAACAATGATTAAGTTTGCATTCAGATTCCAGACATCAGTTCAAGTAAAATATCACACAACCTCCTAAATAGGGTTTACTGAGTAAAAGAAGGTTCATCTCTGTGGTGTTTCCTTGGCAATAGTAGAAGCAGTTGAACTTTTATGTAAAACATATAAACATTCTAAATAGTAAATAGAAATTAGAATGGAAAGTTTCGTTTTGACTTGGATCCTAGGGTGAGGGGGAGGAATTCAAAACTATGACGTCAAATAAAACCTTTATGGAACTGCATATACGCTTGTTCTTTTTGGGAGAAATAATCCCCAGTATCTTTTTTTCTATAGCAGATCTGTTATTTGATCTTGAGTGAAAATTTTAACTGTCTTTGAAAATTCAATATTTGTAAAACGGCAAGAAAATTTCTAACGGTAGAGAAGGCTTTTGAATATATGAATTCTCTCTCGATGAAGAAACTGATGACCTCGAAATGATTATTGTTCCTCCAACATCTGATTCCGTGAGTGATGAAGAGCAGATAGATGATTCTGTTAGAAAGTTTAGTTGTCTAGTCAGAAAGGTCTGTCGAGCTGGTTTATATTATTACAGCAAAGCCCCGAGGGTTATCTGTCTAAGGGAAAGGATTCCTTCGAGGAGGACTTTCTAATCGAAACTGGCTCATATACACGTCATACATGGGGGAAACCACAAAAACGCTCATGCAGGAAGTCCATTCGCGGGACTCGAACCGCAGACCAAACTACCAGTGTTCGGCGACTTTACCGCTCAGCCGTGGTGGAGCCTGTAAATGTATTAGTGTATTGCCTCTTTTTCTTATTAATAGGACAGCCTGTAACTTAATAAAATCAAGACAATGTCTGAAAATTTTTGTTTTACATGTGTCACTCCCTCATCTTATTGATGTGCCTAAAATGTTATATTTTCCGGCGGAAATTTTTGAGAGGTCCAATATGGGTTAATTGGCTGTTACATAGTAGCTGATTGTACGTAAAAGACTGATTAATACTCAGGACTACGTACTGAATTAAAACATACTAACCCACCCATCCACACCTCATATATATTTATATGCAC